TTTGGCTTCAGTTTCGTTCTATAAAATTTAGTTGCATTTGTTGCTATTGACTGAAAAAGGAAAAAGTCCTAAGCTGTTATCTCTCATCCAGAGACCCTCGCTATACTGGAAACCCACAAACCTGCCTGCAGCGGCAAAATCACTAAACCACCTGAAAGTTTACTAGATTAGGCTGGTTAATAACTCTTTTTTTCTGCTGCAGCATAAATATGGAGAAGTGTCACCTCTGATACCAGAATGTTAACTGGTGCAGGAATCTAATTATTCAAGTGGAGGTTTCTTCCTGTTAAAGGGGAGTTTTTCCTTCCCACTGTCGCCATGTGCTTGCTCACAGAGGGTTGTTTGATTGCTGGGGTTTTCTTTGTATTATCGTACGATCTTTACCTTACAATACAAAGCACCTTGATGTGATTTGTTGTGATTTGGTGCTATATAAATAAAACTGAACCGAATATCTGTGTTTTTAAGGATCTTGAATGTGAAACCTGGCGGTGGTGGTGGGGTGTTGGTGTTTGCAGCAGCAGTTGCGTTAGCTTGCTCTGGATGACTGGGAAGCCTCTGAAGGCTGGGTTGGTCTGCAGGTCTGTTGGTGCTGCTGCTGCCTCTGGGTGGATGGTTTCCCTCGTGGCTGCTTCCTCTGGGTGCGACTTCATTTTCCATGGCTTGTTCTTTTGGTCCAGCTGGAGGAGGCCACATCTTCATGACAGCCTCCACCACTTTGCTATCTTCCTGACCTCCTGACAAATGTGACAAATGAAACATGCACTTTTATACTGCTAATATAAACAATTTTTTCTTTACTCTGAGCATCTGCATTAAGTACCAGATCGACTGCCTCCTGTGCTGTGTATTGGTGCTCGAGGAGGCCAGCAGACCAGCGTCTGTTCCCCGTCCTCTTGTCCAGGGTGAGATGGCTCGACTGTGGAGCTGGTGGAGGAGAAACTCCTTGACAGCACTGGAGGATAATAGTTTCAGTTAAATCCAAAGAATATAAAAGAAACATTGAAATGAAACCTTAAATAAAACACCAATCATACACAGCGTGAGCCTGTCTCAGAGCTGTTGTGCCATGAAAGCAAAATGTGTAATGAAAAAGTCTTTGATCATATTAATCCTTGTAAAATGTGTGTGTATGTGTGTGTGTGTGTGTGCTCTCTGCTGCAGTATGGGATCTGCTCCTCTTGCTCTTTGAGCCCTGGCAACAGCTGCTCTTTTATGTCACCACACACAAGAGTGAACAAACTCGAATTAGCATATGCGAGAAACACACCAGTTATGTGCACTGTGTGTGTGTGTGCGTGCCGAAGGAGAGTGTTTGTGTGAGGCTGAGACTGCGAAGAAAAACACTTTGAATATTATGAAATGATAATGGAAATGGGGGCAAGTGTCACAGAGAGAATTGGAGGAACTGCAGATGGAAGCGTGAGAGGAAGCAGCAGTGAGTTTTAGGATTCAGCTCGTGTTGCAGTTGTAGCACTGAGCTGATATTCTGCATCAAACTGTGATTCTCATGCACATCAACACTGGGCTGAACACATGGATTTTTCAGGCTGTTTTTCAAACATTCTGCAATTTAAAAAGGTAAGTAAATCAGTGAGGAGCACTATAGAGTAACAAAGAACCTTATTTACGATATATATTTTTGGCACTATGGCTCTGTTGTGGGAGAGCAGGTGTTAATGACAAGTCCGACCCATGCAGACAAGCCAAAATGAAAGAAAAACATTGGAGTGGCGCTGGGTTGCAAAGCAGCTTGCAGATGTGCAGCAGGTGTGGCCAGGTTACGACAGCTTAAATCGCACAGTGTGTGTGAAAATAGCCAATTAGAGGTGTAGAAGAGTGTAAACAGAGCCATCGCAATGACATCAAGCAATGCTACGTTCAATTAAACTGTTATCTTAATCAAACCTATTGCACTTTGAGGGTTAATGGACACATTATCTTATGGTGGATAAATTAATGGAAACAAGTGGAAGCTTTGACTTTTCAACTTTCACCTTTAGCATTCTGTTCGATCAAATTCCATCAACATAACGATAACCTATCGGTTACGCTGTTTTTCCAAAAGGTTACTACCTGTGTGGCTGTGATGGCATCAGCCACACAGGGGTAAATTAGTCCATTTTTTACTTTATTAGTTTGCTTTGCAGTTTTCTTCATTAATCATTTGGTTAACACTGGTATTATGAGGCGCGCACATAGTAACATTGTGTGGTTTTTCTAAAATGTTTTGTTATATTAATTATATTTCTCTTTCTTTGAGTTACCTGGGTTTGGGCGGTGGCTGTTTCCTGTCTGGGCAAAAGGCGTGGCTGAGGAAAAATGCCTGCTCAGCAGGACCAACCATGGGCTTACCAGAAGCAGGGGTGTTTTAGGTTTAGTTAGGTTATTCTGTGCTTAGTTAATATTAGTGTGTTTTTGTTTTCCCCCCTATTGTGTTCAAATGGTTTGGCCAAATCATTATAAAAGCTACCCTCATGTGTCTTTGTAATTAGGTCAGTTTGTGAGTTAAGTTGTATCTCACGTTGTTTTGTTTAAGTTTCTGGAAATTACTTTTTGTAGAGTTATATTTAGTTGACCTCTTTTATGGGCCTGCTAAGTATGTTTTTAAATTTTGTTAATTTTGGACTTTTTGAGGGTTAAAATAAAGAAAACCCTTTTTGAAGACACATTTTTTGCCTGTGTCCTCTTTGCTTTGGCTGCTTGGTCCCTCACAGTGGCCTAGAGGGTCACTGTTGTCCTGACTGGCCAATATCTTCTGATATTTATGTAAATCCAACATTTCATGTGTGACAGGATGGCTGTGTGTGTGTTTTTTCCACCATGTGTCTTCTGTACCTCTTTCAGGGGGAATGTCTGGTTTGTGAGGCTCTGGGACCTCCCACAGTTCCACCTCACTGGGAAGCTCTCTGATTTCCTCTTTGGCCAAGAATCTCTTCAGGGCTCTTGGGTCCTGCATATTATTTATTATAGTTATTGTAGTTATTATAGTAAACACGGCATACACATAATATTAGGCAAGGTTCACAAACTGTATAAAAAAGATGGGCGTAGCAACATATCACCAGTGGTTTGTGGACTTTGTATTTTAAAACTAAAACATTTACATTTTGCCTGCTGCCATGTTCTGTTTTTTTACATCCAGAAATGACCATAATCAGATGAGGCTACAGCTAACTAACATAGATAACAAGCTGCATCCGTAAACTGTACCAGGTGCAATGTACAGACAAAGCCTTAGGAGCCTGCCTCAAATGGAAGGAACTGCAGTTTTGGCACGTCCGCCTGTTTCATGTTTATTGTTGCCTGGATAGAATATAGCATTTGTTTTGTATCAAAGAACAAAACTAACTGCATTTCATTATTTTATTCACACTGGAAGACCTGTGGGACTTGCAGTTGAGTTATTTAGGAGGAACACAGAGGTCTGATCCATTCATCATCTGTCTGATTCTGCCTGTTCCTCCTTATAAAAGCACTACATAATAAGACCAGTGCTGATTAGATCAGATTCTCTTGCCAACAGTGGCAACGACAGACATTCTCAGTAAAACTCTGATGTCCTAATTAACACGAACTTCTAGTCATCAACTTCCTGGGATACTCTAAGTAATAAGTGAATATAATAAGTTAGGAGCCAGATTTCCCCTAAGCCTCAAATATCTGTCTGACTGCAGTGTAAAGGGATGTTACGCTTCAGAATCATATCATTAAAGCCTTTAATCAGACACTGAAGAATTTCATTTTATTGACTTTGGAAAATCCCAAAATGGAACCTAAATCAAACCAGATGTCAAAACTGATTATATAACGCAGCTCTGTTCTACTGGAAAACCAGAAGAGAATGATCAGTGGAGCAGGATCAAAGCTGAGGCCAGATCTGAGCATCTTTTGCTGCTGCACTGCTCTATGAGTCGGCAAATAATGCAAATGCAACTGCTCTCCAGGGAAATGGCCGTTACCCGGTGCGACGGTCAGCTATGTGGTGAGTTTGTGCAAGTGGCAGGATGAAAAAGTGCAAATGACTAAAGACTCTTTTCACTGGTTGTGGATTAGTGATCGATGCTGGAAGGAATTATATATCACTTACACTGCGCGAGGTTATCAGGCCAGTCAGGAAATGTGTCAGCTCCTTTTGGTGGCTGCTCTCTGTGCAAAACAATTTCACCACCTCCCTGAAACACACACACACACAGCATTGCAAGCTACTGTAAGACAAATGCCAAAGCATGTACAGGGTAAGTCTATGAACAGCTTACTCAGGATATATTCTCTTTATGAGACTTAAATGCATGTGAGGGAAGGACTTCTGAAATTCAGCAAAGATCAATATGAGTCTTCATCATATTAATAAAATCATGTGGATGCATGGATCTCAACTGACAGCTTGATGCCATATTAAAAATTAATTGTAGAAATAATCTGATAATAAAAGGGTTTATTAATTCACTTATATCTCAATGAGAAACACTCTGGGGAAAATGGCTAGAACTTCAGTGCCAGAGCTTGCAGAACTTAATAGTTTCTGTTGATATTAGTATTTCTTTAATAGCTGTTCACATGTTCTGAACACACATTACGTGAATGATGCTTTGTTAAATTACATCAGGTTGGTCCAAATTGCACCACAAACCGTTGATCACTTAGTAAAAATCCAAAATCCAGAATTG